TAATTTTTCGGGCGTATGAGATCTTCCCAAACGGCCGCAGTTTTGTTGAAAGTTGTTTAAATCTACTCAATCCACACGATATTCAAGACCCGGGATATTCATATTTTAGATGGCTGCTATGGCTGAGCATGTGGATGCGGAGGATGATTTTGTGGAGAATTTAGCTCGCCAAAGTTTTTTCTCATTCAATGCATTTCAAGTCGCTTTGAAAGAGTACCAGACGAAACATTTCGTTGTTTTCGTCTGTATAGACTCCAAAAAGAGCAGCAATTCGCTACTTTTGTATGAAAAAGCCTCCTACCGTTGCAGCAGACATCCCTGCAGACGAAGCAGAAGCCGTGGAATTCGTCGCACCTAGTAAGTTAATGGTTGACTGTGTATACGTTGTAGCACACGTCGTACTGATTGTCCGGCAAGGTTCCACGTTCGCCGGTACCATGACTGCTTGAGGGTTACTTCCTACTACCTGGAGCACAACCATCCACGCAGCAAGTTTATTTTTGACAGGCTCCCCATCAACCGGCGACTGACAAATGATGAATTAAAGGAGTGTTCTACCCTTTTGAAATACGGTGCTCCGTCATCGGAGATTCGGCAGTACGTCGCCGACCACTTTGGAAAGGTACTCACTATCAAGGATGTGCGTAACTATCGCGTCAAGTGTCGACCCCCATTGTTAAGTAGGTCGTTGGTTACCTTTTAGTTGGTTTCTTAGATGACATGTCGTCCATCATAGCCAAGTTTCGAGAGTGCGGTCGCGTGCTGCTGGTGGAATCGGAGGGTGGCAGATATAGTCACCTGTGCTTTTCTCGAACGCAGCAGATAGCACTCTTTAGACGTTTCCCGGACGTTGTAAACGTTGATGCTACACACGGTACTAACCGTCTTGGGTAAATAAATTTCGAGCCACTGACGTTCGCTGTTAAGTTACAAGCTTTATACATTCCTTGTGACAGATGGCATGGGGATCGGTCGACCCGTAATGTATGCCTTTGTCGAAAGCGAGCATTTTGCGCCATTGCGCAAGCTGTTCAGCTTGTTCAAGGATATGATGGGTGGACAATATGCAGTCAAAACGTTCGTCATGGACAAAATGACTTCACAGATGCGGGCTGCCAAAGCTGTATTTGGCTGCGACGTAATGCTGTGCTATTTTCACGCACGGCAAGCCATCCGGAAGCACGTATGTTTCATAGCTTTGGTGTAACTTTTGCAGACAATTTCCAACCACAGTCGACACATATTCCACCGCATGGCTCGCTTTGATAATGCAGCTGAGTAAGTGACTGTGCACCAAACACTAATCCCGTAGATTTCGCCACGATTTGCAAATCTTGAGGCGAACAGATCCCAGTTTTGTCTCTTATTTGACTGCCCACTGGCTCCACATCACTCGAAAGTGGGCCATTCATGCACAACGTGGGTTGGTACATTTTGGGAATGTGACCAACAACCGCCTGGAGAACGCCAACGGGCGTTTGAAGAGGCGCGTGCATCACTCAGATAGCCTAGAGCATGCCGTTCTGAAGGTCGCTCATCACAGCGAATGGCTAATGCGGGAATATGAAATGCACACCACTTATTGTTGTGACCGTCGAGAAATTCGGGAGGGAGATATCTACGTTCTACGTGTGGTTTCCCGGATGACGACATACGCCGCTAATCAGGTTCTCAGGCACATTGGAATATGCACGCCAAATCTGCTATACAAGCAGACAGATCGCTTCAAGGTGAGAAGCCCGTTGTTAGTAACAGTCAGTTTGTGGTACAAACCCCCAAATGTTCTCAGACAGTAAACACCTCGGCCGGAACCTGCACGTGCATATTTTACCAATCAATGTGGCTGCCTTGTGTACACCTATTTTCAGTATTCAGAGGCCACTCGTTCCCATGCGGTAAGTTGATTGATCGAACATGCAGTGTCTAGGTCAATTTCCAATCCATCAAAGGTGGCTTGCCGAATATAACCTACCGGAGGAAGGAGTACCTTTATCTCTGGTTCCAAAGCCAGATCCATCACCAATAGAGCATTTGCACAAGCAGCTTGATCGGTTGGTTGGCAAACTGAAGCTGCTGGATCCGCGTAAGGCTGCTGGGTGCATGAAGCGTCTGATTGTCCAAAGCCAGCTGATGTTGCGTCAAAATGCAATTAGTGCACAGGACAACCAGCCTCTGGTGTTAGATGGCAACCGCAAACAACCACGGTGGCGTTCGACGTCAAACGACGCTGTTCCCTGTGGTCTCTGTGGCCAGCCAACTGACCCTGCTGATTGGTGGTGTCAACGTGATCGACTTCCATATCACCGTTATTGCTGCGGCAATGAGCCCTGCCCGCTGTGTGGAGAAAATCTTCAGGCGCGTCCACCAAGTGAGTGCACATGTATAAATTAAACTATTCCCATTAGTTGCCGATCAGTCTACCTACCGTTCAGCTAAAAGAGCTTGCTTTGATGTTGATCTTGATCGGTCCATGGAGGACAAGCCGAGTGTGCCCCGTAAGACAGTCGCAATCAAACTGTTTTGTCCAATTTCGGAGTTGATGGAGACCGGTAATTTGAGGCCTAATTTTTTAGCATACGCTTTGCAGACCTCGCTTTCGAATCCCGTGATGACGAGGAATTCGTGTGATTGTAACTCGAAGGCCCCAAATGCCGATTCAATGAACCCATGGCAATCCGCAACGACTATACATTTATCCCTCATCACGGTAATGGGAATTATGAACCACTAGGTAAGCAAACAAATAAAATTCCATTACATCCAGATGCTTAAGTGCTGTTCCAGAAGGTTAATTGCTTGCCCATTTTCCGTTTCAGAATCCTTGTCCCGTGAAGTGGATCTTAAGAACATGAAAAATGGAGCGACTACCAATTAAGCTTGTATCAGTGATGCCAATGAATAAAATGCAATTCGCCAATGGTGTTTTCGTAAATTCATGGCGGGCGCATCATCAACGCGTGGAGTTATGAGTATGGAGCGCCGTCGTTGGCGATTGTATTACGTTGCCGTGCATAGGTGAGGCCCCATTATCTGCGTCGCGAATAGCAGTTACGCTAAGTAGCCGAGGTGAACGACAGCTCATTGTTTCGGGTAATGGAGGGAGTGGTTGAGGGGGTACAATCAAGAGTAGGATTTGGGAGCGCGCTATCAAAATGGGTGGTGATTGCATTTTGACAGGCGATGACCACCGTTGATCGTTGGGTTAGTCTATTATGTGTTGTCGGGGCATTATGGTTAGCTACGAGCATGTGTGCGGGCCTGGCAGTTACTATAGGTAGTCACGTAGGTTACGTCAAATACAGTTGCGATGTTTACTGAAGGTAGCAAACATAAACGGCATCGAGTAAGTATGAGTATGACGATGAATAGCCAAGTTAGGTGACTTCGAGTACAGTTGTGAGTATAACAGGCTGTCAGATTATGCTATCACTCATAGTTGAGTCCCTGTTTATACTGGTCGGCATATATATTGGAGTGATGTTTACAGTAGGTAGCGAAGATAAGCGGCATCGCGTATAGTATGAAAGACCCTCAGCTTTATACTAAGCGTTGCACATAGACTCAGTTGCTGCGATTACGATAAGCAGCCAGGGTAGGCGATATCAAGTGAGGTTACGAGTATGACGGGCAGCCGTTGGTCGTTAAGACGTCACGCATAGCCCAGGCCTACCAGACAGAGTCGCATATAAGCACTGGCCTGCCCGTTTCAATAAGTAGTCAAGGTAGACGATATCGCGTACAGTTTTGAGTATTTGGTTAATCGGTCGCCATTAGATTAGGTATGTATGTACAAGGACGCTGACTCAACAGCCAAGTTAGATGACCTCGAGTACAGCTGTGTGAATAACAGGCTGTCAGATGTGGCTATCACGCATAGCTGAGGCCTTATTTTTACCGGTCGGCATATAAACTGTACTGATGTTTATTGTAGCTAGCGAAGACAAGCGGGATCGCGTATAGTTAACGGTATACAAGACCGTCATTGACCATCGGTGCATAGGTGCAGTCTCATTATCAACGTTGCACATAAAAGCGAGCCTAGCAGTTACAAGTATTCGAGATGAGTGAAAACAAGTAGAGATACGAGTAAAGGGGGCCGTCGTTACCCAATGGATTGGGCTGCCGCGCATATGTGGGGAACCCTAATTAGCGTCGCACATAGACACGGATTCAGCAGCCACAATAGGTAGTCGAGGAGGCTACCGTCATCGTGGTGGCCGCTTCATGATTGGTGGTCAGCATCTATAGAACGTCATAGTTATAATAGGAAAGACGCCCACAGCATTCTGGCAGCACTGTATTATCTACAAGCTAGCTATGCATATCTGGGAAGGAGGATCACCCACAGGTGTCCCTCGCACTGCCACTGCAAGTTTGTGCTGTTATCTGACTTTATTGCACTTATGGAACACGAGATCCATGGGGACAATATCTTGTGAACAAACAAAAATACCCCACTGGTTAAATCTAACGTGTCTAAAGCAAACAAACGCCTGCGACTGATCCTATAGGGCGGCATCTGTATTAAATACCCTTAAGATTTTTATTTTTATTCTTCAGGAACACCGCGGAACGGCAAAATATGCTAAAGTGCGATTCCCTGTTTTATGTCGCGTAAACCGGCAAAAAATCCAAATCGGCGATGGTCAATGACCTTGACATTTCGCTGACTTAAACAAAATGCAACGTGTAACATGTCACGGGAAGGTGCAAATTGATTAGACTAACTTCACATAAAAATGGCAACTTCGAAAACCCTATACTTTCGGCGAACTCAATTTCGGCGCGCCAATAGCCTGCGGCCTTGGATTGCTATGCAGTCTACATAATTTGTTAGATTTTTATCCATTTCAAATAAAATTGCAGTCCTTATAATGGTTCACACACATGTCACCGGTCTCCGTGTCACAAATGTCTTCACTCATGTCATTCAGTCCAATTGCTGTTCATGTATTGGCGGTCTCAAACACATCAGAACAAATTTGTTCTAATAGTGGATATCAATAATGTCCAGGTGTAACAATTTTCTTAGCTTCAGGTGCTACACCACCTGAGGAAAGCAAGAGGGTTAGGGTATTGCGAGCAGGAGCAGTCAAGATATCGATTTTTGGTCCGAACCACGAACTTTCCGGTTGAAGATTTCGCTCCTTAACCACTTGTAGACTGCGTACAGAGTGTTCAGTGATATCTGAAAGCTAAGCAAATATTTCCGGCAAATTCTTCACCACTTGTCATTCAGATGGTGGTAAATCGTTTCGTTTCGGCAACTCGAGTTTGGTCAGCTGTACAGCTGGAAGGTTCTAACTTCAATTTTGGTTACTGAATAGGTGAACAAGACTATTCCCATTCATGGAAGTCTTGGAATTCCGCTACTGCAGCAGAACTTGTCGCCTGAATTATCCAACTAAAATGGTCTGAGATACTGAACGGGAAAACTGTTTGATTGGTTACAGAAGAATATTGGTGAGGTCATTAGATTGTGGTGACGTGAAGGAGTGAATAAATGCCTGTAACTGGTATTTTTTACCTGGCTATCCAACACCTTACAAATTAAATGAAGGCCGTTCTCGGCGACGAGTGAGAGTGGAAAAAGTAGTGGCCCGTTATGCTAGGTGCCGTAAGCTGCAAAACCTTTACGAGTGGCATAAAACTCTGCACCAAAATGTTGGATTTTGATGCGTATGTGCTCAAACCAAAAATCGTATTTTCGCAGCTCACAAAATTCCACTGTCCACTGAAGGAATCGTACCTCCGGCGGGAAAAGCCTAGTGGAATGCTTGCCTAGCGTCGCTGCAACCCCAGGACGCCTAGATGGAGCTCGAAAGTTCGGAGTCGCACTCTGAACTGAATTACCTGTCTATTCAGTCCATCAGCGGCACGTCGTAACTCTCGAAAATTAATTTTCATTGTGCGGATACTGAGCGCTGAAAGCTTCACGGTGGTCGGTTTGGTACTGACTGCTTCCGGTCTTTACAATTGTCGCCTACAATTGCATAGAATTTGTCGAGAGTTGGGTCACAACAATTTACATGTACCAGCTGTTACGCCTCACAAAATATGGACTCTATTTTGATGGTGCTTGCGAACATCTTTGATATGATATTCATCCATAACCTTGGTCATCAACAAGTAATTCCTGTCAAAGATTTTGTTCGAGCAATTCCCATATTTTCAGTATGCCAATTGTACAAAACCGTGGCGAGTAATGGGGATGGCGAAATATTTCTATCGCTAAGACATCAAAAAGAAATCGAACGTTGCTGAGAATTTTTCTAGCCTGGAGTGAAACGTTTGAAGTTGGCATTGGTATTTCAGTAAGGACGACTGTCATTCTAATTGCACAGAAATTTTCGCGAGTTGGGAAAACTAACTCTGCTCGGTTGGCTGGTGGCGACCGGAAAACATTATAAAGTGTTGTGTTGGGAGTTCATATCACGTCAGTGAAGCATCAACGTCGACACTGATGCTGTCTCTGATGAAGATGCCTACCATATCATGGTAGTTTGTCGGAAAATCAGCCGGCGATCTGCAAGCTTATCTCCGAATGTGTAACATTGCAGAAGACTGTTTTACACAGATGGTGGATGTTGGGCAAAGCTTGATATTCAGTTAGTACGTTGAAATTAGAGCCGAACTCATATCTACGAGGCAACGTTACCCCACAATGCACCATTGATTCTTATTGTTGCTATTGTGCACAATACCTTTTGTGAAGTTTTGTGGATGTAAAAATAACTGGATGCCTGCTTCGCCGTAGGCCACTAGTGGTGCCAGCTGCATATACATCTGTAATGGCCGTGGGGGTACCTTTACACGAAAAGAGACGCAAAAGAGCAGCGAAAGCAAAAATGAAGAAAAGTTTTGCAGTCTTCATGGCCACAGTGAAATCTTGTCCCATTTCAATAGAGTCTATGACATGGTGGCAAATTAATTGTACGCAACAATTCCAGCTGTGTGTAATTTAGGGTTTGTTGGCCCAAAGGAATCGAGTTCGGCCAAACCAGTGAGGACATTAGCTCTTACCGATTTCGTCGCTAGGGTTTATCTTGCGAAATTCCATTTTCTACTGATTTCCGTCTACAAGTAATTATCAGATGGTGCCACATCTGACCAGACCCACGCACACTTGTCATAGGATTTCTCGGGTCCTTCCTGAGAATAGATGGCTATATGAGTGAAGATATTTTCAATATTCACCAAGACTTTCAAAATAGGCCAATGTTCAACTCAGCTTAAAGCAAGTTCATCAGCTGCGAAAACCATTTGGTTGAGCAAAGTACCTGTAGCCAATATCCTGAAGCTGTTAACTGAAAAGTGAAGTTGCTCAACCCTCAAAACTTACTTGATGAGTCGTGGTAAAACCCAAAGTCTGTGTGTGGCTGGGCTTTTCCCAATCTGACCAGATGTGCACCATTAGAACTGCAGATATCCTAGTGGATGAATACGTTTTAGAAACGACCGTCTTTAGAAAAAGCTAACAGACTTCACTAAATTATAGTTGACAAGTATAGCCTAGTACTTCCTAAACCAGTTTTGGTAAGCAAAGCTTGATGCAAGAAAAGCGTGACTTTAAAAACAAGGTGAATATGATCGCATTTGTGGAAAGATTACATATAAGAAATTCAACCAAATCGATGCGTCAAGAAGGGACATGAGGAAAATGGTACCCAACGTAAATACTGTCGTACAATAGCCCGATTATACTTAAGCAAAAAAGAACGGTTAGATATCCAAACTGCGAAATTGGTTGGCTTCTTTGACTCGCGTCGGGCTCGCTGTGTAGCGGACTAGGACCTCATCAGCGTGTTCGGATAAATTAACAAGCTAAGTAGCCAATACAAAATCACAAAATCACAATAGCAAAGGAATGAGTACTAAAATGGGGACTCACGAATGTGTAGATCCAATAGTCCACTACACCGATCCAAATGCAGTAACTGGCTGTGAAAGGAAATATTCACTTGTCGGAATTTCCCACAGATGGTTCCGCGTGCGTGATATATTCCACGGTAGGAAAATTATTCACGGCTAAAAAATGTCACAGGGATTTATTGTGACGTTCAACAGTTGACACAAACACAGAGATTTGGTCCCACTGGTTCAGCAGTCAACAAACAGTTCAACGGAGCGTAAATACACTCGTTCAGCAAGAAGTCAGCAGGTCGCACCGGAAAATTGTGTATTCGTGACATTAAAACAAACGTCATGATACAATATGTACGACAGTTACAAAGTGTGGTTTATGTTCAGAAAGAATGGTAAATGTGACAACGGATTACAGACACTACAGCTCTACCCAACGAGGGGGTATCCCATCACAAAAGAAAAATGAGGTTGGATGTGGTTGGTAGAAAATTAATTGCTCCAGCGGAACTTTTGTGGATATCCGATGATAACGATGAAAACTTATGCTAGCCAAAACGGATGGCAACAGGTAGGTGAAATAGATTTTGTGTACCATTGAGTTCCTCTATAAAAGGAAGCTAAATTCTCAGTATGTTTAGTCTACGCTGTTGAAGCTGCGTGCCACTAGATGTGCGTGTTCGATTTTCATGGCGTTGACCGGGGACGCGGAAAAAAGTGAACCCAAATGTTGATGACAATTCTACTCTGGGCCGTGTAAACAGTTATCACTGATTAACATTGTCTCTGGAATCAACGTATTTTATGAGAAAAAAGAATGCGATTCGTTTACGCTCCAATAAATAATTATGTCGAGGTGACCACCTCAACATAAGTATTGAAACGTTTGTAATCAAATTGTCCAGCTGAGTGAACAAACAAACTGCTCAAACTACTGAGTAAGGCCCGTGCTGGAATTCAATCAGTTAAACATAAAATACGTTGTTTCAAAAATACCCTCTATAATGTTCAGAAGAACGTCACCAGTATACCATTCGATGGTGTTATTTTACCCTTTTATAAGCTGTCAGCAGTAGTCCTTCGCACTTCTTAAGAAATTCTGACTTGAGGAGTCCAACCACAATAGAACGGCAAACAAAGTGGGCATGCACCTTACGTTTGCCCTAATTAAAGTTCCAAAATCCGAACCGAACGCTGATCTAATCAGACCCGCAAAAGCGCGCTTGCTTCTGGTTACACTGCGCTTGCCTGTTCATATGAAATTAGCGCATCGATGATAAAAAACTACGAAAACCCCATTATCACCTGTGATATATCAGTTGAAAAGCTGAAACTTTAAAGAAGTGTGTACAGGGAAACATTTGGATAGTGGAAACCTCATTCAAGAAACAAGCTCTGGAAGTGAACTTCATACGTAGCTTACTGACACTTTTTTCAAGAATTTCACTTCGCTCAGTAGGATGTAATGGTGAGATTTATGTTCACCAATAGCAGGCGTAAGCTTCCAAGTATCTACATAGGTCAGGTGTTTGATGACATATATAGTGACCTGCTCAGAGGTGGTGTTATCAAAGTGTCAAGTCAATCCATTAACGTGAATCTGCAGAATTTCTGTTCACCAAATTTGCCCCTCCATAAATTGACTAAATCACACTTCTCAACGACATTCCTTGCCTATCGTAGTCTATTAGTGCACAGGTGGTGATAGCCATAATACAAATCAGAAGGTGTATGCACTAATAAAAGATTTTGGTATGATTGACAGTGGTGGTTTGCAACACGTATAAAAATAAATACAGTGCGAAATGAGAGCAAGTCAGAAGGTAACTTATCGTATGTGAGAGTCCCTTGGTGAAAGTCCGGACAGCGGGAACGTGTTTTTCTCCGCAGTGCGACTGCTACACATGTTCCATAATTGTCCGTGGACTTGGAGTGCTTGGCTGACTCCTTGCTCCCTGCGCGCGCGCGAGTCTGTGTGTCCTGACTAGGTTCGGTTTCCCTTTATGTAGGTCCCAGTGCGTGTACGTGGGCGCGTCGGCACATGAGTGGTTGCTACGCTGAGTTGGCGGTGCAGACAATCGATGTCCGATGAGTCAACTTAATGCGACGTGGGTGTGGGCATGAAAAAAGACAAGTCTCGTGATCCAGTGAGCGACTGTGAGCTGAACGGTCAAGTATGTGGGTGACTGGGTTGCTACAACTCCTCCAGATGTTATCACTTTCCTTAAAACAGTTACAAGGCCTTACTACCAGTGTACCGCATCACCGAAGGTGTAACCAAGGCAAAACAGGTCATACAGAATGGCCGAAGCGAAAATGGTTGTCTTATTGTTCCTGTTTTACGCTTACTGATGAAAACGAATTCCACTGTAACTGAAGAGGTAATAATCTCAAGATCAGAAACGTGCTGCTGTTACCCGTGGTCCACTGGTTGCTCGTGGTCAGGAATAAACGAACCACTGGAGTGGGGCACATATATACTCGATCCGAGCGTGATACACAGGGTATTCTCAAGTGGAATCCAGTGGGACGGAAAATCAATGCTTGGCTATGTGCTACGCGCCACTACACTCCCCAATAACGCATTGATCATGTCGCCTCGATTGGTGATGAAGCGTTTGCAATCAAATTGTCCAGTTCAGTTCAGCGAACAATGACCACATGGCCGTACAGTCACAACAGCTGAACTACATTGGCTCAATGCACTTAAATGTTACTCACTTGTCAGTCAAGTCATGACATGCCCAATAGGCAATTGTCCTTAGAGGAACAAACACGTGCTCACTGGGTCGGGTGAGGACAGATACATTGTAAAGCCAACATACGGGTCAATCAATAACTGCATGGACGTACTGTTAATGTGTATGAAAGCGTATACCCGTGCTGGACACTGAGCATGCATCCTCAGCCTCAGTTGGATTACCCGAGTATATTGAACGTGAATATTTTCACTGGTTAGTCGTAGCACTATGGATCAAATGCGCCCAATGCTCTGTCACCGTTCGAAAAGCTCCGCTAACCCCCAGCCAAATAACAAGATAGCCACACTATTACGTCCACTTCCTGAATAATCAGAACCGAACTGGCAGTTAATTTAGGCCCATTTGCCTGGTCCTAATACATGGATGTATAAAGTCATTCTGAGGAGGTACTCTTTTTCAATGAGGTGATAAACCACGAGTATTGGAGAGATGTACTTAAATCCGCAAAGTTAGGGGTCTTTAGACAGTCAGCGTAAAAAAAATTATGTCGTGTTGGTGTACTGACAATGTCCAACATTTCGGTGCTATTACTTGAAATTAGATCGGCTGGGAAAGCTGGCGCGAATAACCGTTGGAAGGTTTAATCCAAACACTACGGCCTATCAAACATTCGCTAGACAGACACCTCCATGGGTCCTATAGTAAACGGACTGAATTCCATACTCCATGAGTTGGTCAGATTTATTGTGAGTGAGCAAAATTATTTAGCGAGTTATAC